AAGACTTTCCACATAAGTCACAGCTGTAAGGTTTAACTCCACTGTGGATAAGTTGGTGTGTTTTCAAGTCTCCAGCCTGGACAAAATACTTCCCACACTCATCACAGCTGTAAGTTTCCTCTCCCTTTCTTCTGTAAGGTTTGTCGGCCTCCTGAGAGCGCTGACTTCTTGCTCCATGTTGGTCCTGCAGTGAGAGAGATACAAACACAGGCAGTGAGTGAAATTCAGTCGTGCAACAAACTGAAACTCCCTCCATTGGTGGAATCAAACATGTCAAAAAACACATTGTAGGTGTGTTACCACCACCTTCTGGTGATAGTATCACATTACAATGATCTGCTACAATGAGAGTTGTAATGAAAATGACATTATTGAAGAAATATTGATCATCAGTGAAACTCTTTTACTTCAGAAAAAAAATCAGAGTTCAACTGATGATATTGTTATTTCAGTGTGTGTAGGAAATATGATCTTTGTATTTTCTTGTAACTTCTGTGGTTTTTGGTTGTGAATGTAGATTCTGTATATATGGAGGAGCCCCAGGATGGAAAAGATAAAGCTGCTGTTAACAGGTTTTTAAAAACCAACAAGCTGTACACACAGTTTCAATAACAGAGTAACTGTGATGTTTTTCTCACCTTTTGTGTTGAAGTCATTGTTTCCTCTGTAGTGGCTGAGCTGAGTCCAAATGGCTGAAATTTATCCTCTGCTGCACCACCATTCTTCTCCTCCTGTTACTCAGCTGGGACACAAAAAGTATATATTTGTATTTTATCCCTGACAAAAAGAAGCAGAGCAAATAAACATGACTAAACTCCTCAGTGACAACAATACCTATGAAGCTTCAAGGAGAAACCCCAGAAGCAACTACAAAAAGAAAGTCATCAGTTGCCTACAAGAACTTGAAAGGAAACATCACTGACCCCCCCTGCAGATCACCGTTTTTACCCAGGGGATGCTACACCCTATATATTTGGACTTCCATAGATCCACAAAGACGGAGTCCTGATCAGTCTCAATGGTAGCAGTATAAACTCAGCCACCTACAACATCTCCAAGCACCTCATTACCATCCTAGCTCCCCTAGGATGGTAATGAGGTTTTTAAAAAAACATTTCAAAACTCACTTTGTTAATGTGGAATTCTAAAATTATTTTACAAATGGAGAATTTATTCTACAATTCATCATCTAAGAATTCTGTATTTCGATGTGTGTGTGGCTCTTGCGGTCCTCCATATGGTGGTACAAATAGAGGACATAGAGGAAGTGGCACACATCACGAGTTGGTACATGTTGAAGGCGTTAACAACACACAGTGTGGTTGGCTAGGTTAACTCAAAAGCAGAATTTAGCTGTGCCTGACTACAATAGAGACTTTCTTCTTTAGATGTTTCTGAAACAAGGTGTAGTAAAAAGAGATTTGTTTCAGAAAAAGGGGAAAGTAATTAAAATGACATACATAAGCACAGAATGTTTTAATCCTACTAACACATACACACACTCAATGAAGCTCATGAATACCAGATGGTATTTTAAGCCTGTGTTTCTGATTTTATTATGTTGTTCGGTTCACTTAGTAAGATGAGAAGCAATATATGAACTAGTGGACTAATATTATATTAGGAAAGATGATTGAATGATAGCAGGGGTGAACAGAATGCAGCAGAGGGTTTAAATGAGTGAGACTAACAGATTCTTAGTGTCTTGTTCCTAATGATCAGATAAACGATGAGTTTCATATCCAGTTAAGGAACGAAGAAATAAAAGAGGTCAAAGATTTTAAGTTTTTAGGAATAATTTTTGATCTACTTCTTAAATTTGACAAGCATGTAAGGGAGATTGCTAAAACGTTCAAGGCTAATCTGAATTGTTTTAAGTTAATTTAATTTTAAGTTAATTCGGCACTATATAGCTACTTCAGCAGCTCAGTTATTTATGCATTTGTCACGTTCCTGGGTCTTTTGAACCAGTGTTTTGAGTTCTAGTTCATTTTTGATGTTTATCAAATCAAAATTTATTTATATAGCACATATTAAAACAACAGTGTTGACCATAGTGCTTCACAGTCAGTAAAAGCACGAGACAGTTAAAACAAACAATAGAAGAGGACAACAAACAATAGGTAACAACACAACAAGCTAGACCAGCCAACTAGACAGAATCAAAAGCCAAAGTAAAAA